AACAAAAAAAAAAAAAAAAAAAATTTTTTTTTTTTTTTTTTTTTTTTTTAGCTGAGAAATAGTCTTCTGGTTTCTATTCAAGTGTGCTATTGTGTCTTGGAGCTATTCCCCAAGGATCTATGTAAGAGTTTGGGGAAGATTTTTCTGCCATGAGGAGGAATCCTGACCTCCCTGATGAGGATTTCTTTCCTCCCACTGACTCCACTGGGACTGTGAGAGGCTGAAATCTCTCAGCATGTGCTATGGGAACGTGCTCCCCTTGTGCAGGAGCCAGTGCAGTTGGCTTGGTGATGCTGATAACTGCCATGGGAGGGGGGCTAAGCCCGGGCCACCTTCCAGAGATCTCATAAAGGACCACCGTGGGTATGTGCTGCCACATCCTCACAGACTTAGGGCCATATATCAAGTCATATTCCATCCTTACCAGACTGTGATCTCTTGCTCAGGGAGGATAGGCGACTCCTTTCAAAACTACCGATTCCTACCTGGATATCCACTCTGGGCTTGACATTATTTCCCAATTCAGTGTCCTTGTGAACCTGTGGGGATGTGGGGAGCTAAGAATGACTCTTGCCTTCACAGCCTTGAGTCTCTCTGTGGGCTGTTATCCTGACAGAAGCTGCCAAGTGTAGAAGCAAACTGATGAGCAATTTTAAAGTACTGTACCTAGGAAAAAAATCCTCCTTTGTGGTCCAGTGCCCTTCCTTAATCCAACTCTTTTTGGCTGGACAAGTTCCACCTTGCTTAGGCAGTTGTTAGGTTCTCTTTGGAGTCAATGGGAAGTAATGAGCAGATACGAGTGTGATTCTCCCTCAAGAGGAGGTGGGCTGTACCTTACAAGTGCCTGCTTCACAGGGAGAAAAGCAGTTTACCAGGTACAATAAGTAACAACAGAAGATATCTTTTATTTCCTCTTCCCAATTCTAGGTTTACCAGAATATGAAGAAAAATGTTTCTAGACACAATTCCAGCATCAAAACCAAACCACATGTAAGCAGAAATGAGGAATCTCTGCTATCCCCAGCTGTGCTCCAGCATGAAGACTCTCAGGCTGAAAAATAATCTGGGTTCTGGATTTGATCTCAGTATTTTCATAAACTCTGTGTAGCATATATGCTTTATATCACCATTAAGAAAAGAAAATTTTACCAACTGGTGCTATATTCACATTTCTTATGGGCCAGTCCATATTTACGTCACTTTGAGGAGAAGACACAATTCATTTATTTGAATTCAGCAAAAACATCAATCACCAGAGAAAAGCGATGGTCTTTTGGCTGTCTGTCCACAACTGGATATCTCTTTTCCTGGTTTTGGTTTGTTTTTTGTGTTTTTTTTGTAAACGGTGTCTAATCAATGCATTGAATTGAGACTGTTCGTGCCATATTGCAAGCAAACACAAGAAAATCCATGGGCTTTTAGTCAGTGTTTACAAGCACAGACTATGCATCTAAAGATAACTGGTGTGATTTCCAGAAACGCTACTCACATCTTCATCTCCAGGTGTCAGTGACTGTTGGAAAAACAGCCTTGTTTTTACAAGGAACTATAAACCTGAGTGTGTACAACTATCTTGTCCTGAACATCTTAATTGCTGTGAAGTTCCTGATAGGTGTCCAGTTCAGGTGAGTTCATTTCACCAAGCTTTAGGTACTTGGGTGGTTTCCATCACCCAGGCTACATTCTGCACTCACTGATGAGAGCTAAGCACTTTCAGCAACTGATTCCTTCTGCCTAAAATAAGCACCTAAAACAAGCAGGAGGAGTAACATTTGGAGGTGACCTTCTGCCTCCCTGGTCTGAAAATCCAGGTGACAGTCCCCAGCTGGAAGATTCACTTCGACTGAGTTGTAACTAACCCCAGTCTTTGGGCTTTGTGTATTTTAATATAAAATAAAAATGTCTAATTTTAAAGAAAGTATCTTCTGTAGCAATTTAAGAATGTAATATCATCACTCCCAATTCCCAGAAATCAGCCTGGATGTATTGCTTGCTGCAAGCAAATGAGAATACGTCTCTTTGGCTTTCTCCCAGACTCCCAGGACAATAATCAGAGGCTTGAGGGTTTTCTAATGTAGATAAGAAGACTTATTTTTGTGATGATATTTGGAAATTTGTAAATACGGCTTTTATAAGGATACATTTGTCTACATCTGAGTGAATCAAGATGAGAATATATTGGTTAATAGTTTTCTTTTCTTTTACATTTTACAAAATGCTAAGTGCAGTTGGGATTTCCAGTGCCAAGTGTTATAAATTAATAACCGTTTGGGCAGAATGTGCTGTCACATAAACTGAGGTGCTCATTACTAACATCGTCTGAAAATAAATAATGTTGTAACACAGCAATTATGAGTTGTATATTTTTGTCGACATTGGTGAATTAGCAATGAATCACTCATTTGTTTAATCAGATATAAACCACTGAAGAATAATTTGGAAATATAAAGATAGACATAAAACTTTACCACTGCATTTTCTGGGAAATATGTAAGTCTTTTAACGTACCCATGTAACACAGTTTCAAAGTGTTCAGCAACAAGATGTCACTGCTCAGCGCTGGTAACACACAGCCTGAACCAGCTGGAAAGCGAGTTGAGTGTCTTGTGCAGACAGGAGTTTTCGACCTCAGAGCTAGAGGAGCTTAACTTGGTTGCATCCAAGCCTAGCTGGCCCTGGAAGCTAAGCAGATGTGGACTTGGCTCATAGAGGAGCAGATGGGAATCCCATGTGCTTTAGAACATGTCAGGGAGTTGTGTCAAATGTTTTTACCCAAGATTAAAAAAAGGAGTGGACAGAGGTCATCTGGCCCCATCATCGCTACTGAGCTGAGACTCAGGAATATAAAGGCAAATAGGGAACCTTGGTGCTAACACAAACTCCTCGTGATGCACACATGAGGAGCAGCTCAGGCAACAGTGCACCCTGTGAGGAAGTACAGTGAGGAGAAACACCCTCCTGTAGGGACTGAACATGTGGAGGTTGTGTATCTGCTTCTCCACAGAGTGGAGAGATGTAACAAAGCTACAGGAGATATTCAGTGACAAAATAGTGTCTTGTAGGAGCACGTTTCCTTTCCAAGACATTCCCGACCCAACTTAGCAAAGTGCTGGTCCATTCCTGAGGTCTGTGCGGAGCCACAGCCAGCGCTGTTTAAGGAGCAGCTTTGTGATTATTGAAGGAAAATGCCCACTTTTCTCTTATTAGGATCCAGCCCCCTAATCTGTGCTTCCAGGAGCAGGTTCTCTGGAGAAAGTGCTAAATTCCCCCTGTAGGGAACGGGGAGAGTTAAGCTTCTTCGAAGACCTCCAGCAGAGCTGCCATTGGTCTAAGTTAGATGCATTAACTCAGGTAGAAACTAACAAAGATTCAGTAATCATTTAGCCTGGAAGAAGAGGGGGAGAAAGGGTTTAGGTAAGTTAAAAGTGCAAAGGACACCGCACCTCCTTGTCAGAAAGAAAGAACAGGAAATAAACATCTGACAGGTCGAACTGAAGGACAAGACGCGTTGAGGAATTAGACCCGATTTTCTTTCCCTTTTTCTCTGCCAAAGCGCACCACGGGGCGTGCAGCCCGGTCCTGGGGAGGCTTCCCCAGGGGATGCTCCGGGTGGCCCGGGGGTCCTGGGGGTGTTGGTAGACAGCAGGCTTAACATGAGCCAGCAGTGTGCCCAGGTGGCCAAGAAGGCCAATGGCATCCTGGCTTGTATCAAGAATAGTGTGGCCAGCAGGAGTAGGGAAGTCATCGTGCCTCTGTACTTGGCACTGGTGAGGCCTCACCTCGAGTACTGTGTTCAGTTCTGGGCCCCTCACTACAGGAAGGACATTGAAGTGCTGGAGCGTGTCCAGAGGAGAGCCACCAAGCTGGTGAGGGGCCTGGAGAACAAGTCCTATGAGGAGAGGCTGAGGAAACTGGGCATGTTTAGTTTGGAGAAGAGGAGGCTGAGGGGAGACCTCATTGCCCTCTACAACTACCTGAAAGGAGGGTGTAGAGAGGCAGGTGTTGGCCTCTTCTCCCAAAGGACGAATGACAAGACCAGAGGAAATGGTCTGAAGTTGCAGCAAGGGAGATTTAGATTAGATATTAGAAAGAATTACTTTACTGAGAGAGTGGTCAGGCACTGGAACAGCCTGCCCAGGGAGGTGGTGGAGTCACCATCCCTGGAGGTATTTAAGAAACGTAGACATAGCTCTTCAGGGCATGCTCTAGTGCCCGAGATTATTGAGGTTATTGGTTTATGGTGAGGTGTTGAGTGTGGGGTTTAGTTGGTGGGTGTGGTGTTTTTGGTGGGCGTTTGGTGTGGTGTGGTTTTTTTTGTTGTTTTTTTGGGGGTTTTTTGTTTTTGTTTTTGTTTCTGTTTTTGTTTTTGTGGTTGGACTCGATGATCTCAGAGGTCCCTTCCAACCACTAAGATTCTGTGATTCTGTGATTCTGTGGGATGCCGCCGTCCCCGACCCGCCGCCGCAGCCGGCACTAGGTGGCGCTCCGCCACCGCGGCAGCGGGACGGCGCAGCGGGTGGGGGAACGGGGACAGGGAGCCGGGCTGGTGCCCCCAGAAGGGTCTGAGCCAGCCGCGGTGTGCGGACCAGAGCTACAGCAGAGCCAGGGGAGCAGGACTGGGGTGATGGTGCCGGGCTTCAAAGGGAATCACGGCCAAAACCTGACGGGATGGGCCAAGTACCAGCGTGAACCAGCCAGACACCTCCCTCATGCCCTCACAACCATGCTCCTGTCTCACAGGCAGCACACACTAAAAAAAAATAGGAGACCCTTCTCCGTCCAGCTCACGAGAAACTGGATGTGCTTCTCCAACACAAGTCTCACTGTCATGTTTGGGGTATCTGGGATGGGCTCTCTGAGGTCCCTCTGGAAGAAGCTGGGGCTAATCCTGTGTTGAACCAGAAGAGGAGAGCAGAAGTGCCATGCGAGTTAACGGTGGCTTTCAGCCCACATGTTCACAGAGATATGTGACAGGTGATGGAGAAATCCAAAATCGTATTTGCTACAGAGCCATTTGCAGATATGTCCTTTTTAAGAGTCCACACTTCTGCTGGGAAATATTTTGGGGGTGCAAAAATCAAAGCAGGCTGAAGATACGGGCATTTGCCATGCAGTTGGGTACGCTGGATCTCAGCTCCCTTCTCCCAGATACTGAGCTATGTGAAGTACCTAGTGCCACAGGGCTCCTTCTTCCCAGCTAAATGCACTGCTTTCACTACTGAGTCACTGCCTCCTTCCCCCACTTCCCCATCGATGGCTAATTGATTAGGCTATGCAAAACATCAAAAGATGCATTGCTAGCAGGTCCAGAGAGGTGATTCTTCCACTTTACTCTGCTCTGGTGAGACCTCACCTGGAGTATTGTGTGCAGGTCTGGAGCCCTCCATATAGGAAAGACGTGGACCTGATGGAGCAGGTCCAGAGGAGGGCCACAAGGGTGATCAGGGGGTTGGAGCACCTCTGCTACAAGGACAGGCTGAGGGAGCTGGGGTTGTTCAGCCTGAAGAAGAGGAGGCTCCAGGGGGACCTAATAGTGGCCTTCCAGTACCTGATGGGGGCCTACAGGAAGGCTGGGGAGAGCCTGTTTAGAAAGGCCTGTAGTGACAGGACGAGGGGCAATGGCTTCAAGCTGGAGGGGAGCAGATTTAGATTGGAGATTGGGAGAAAGTTCTTTATTGTGAGGGTGGTGGAGCACTGAAACAGGTTGCCCAGGGAGGTGGTTGAGGCCCCATCCTTGGAGATATTCAAGGTGAGGCTCAATGAGGCCCTGGGCAACCTGGTCTAGTTGGGGGTGTCCCTGCTGACTGCGGGGGGGTCGGACTAGATGACCTTCGGAGGTCCCTTCTGGCCTGGATGATACTATGATTCTATGATTCTAAGTAAAACAGCTTTAAAAAGGAGCACAAAATGATCCACCCAGGCTTGTGGTTGAGGAGATCACAAATCACTTCAGAAAGCAATGGGACATGAGCCCAGCTCCTTCTCACCCTTCAGTGAACATCTTGATGCTGGGCTGTGGTGAGGTGGGGTGGCAGTGATTTCCAGCCATGTTTTCTGAGAACCTGAGCCAGACTCATGCTTCCTGACATGCTTCCCGTGGATGAGACAAAACAGGGGGGCTGCTCAGTTCAGGGATCCTGTCTTACAGGCCACTGCCATGATAAAATTTAGGGGTTTATGGCTGTGCTGGAAAATTGGTAGAACAGAAGTGTGAGGGGCCCTTGGGAATGGTACGAATCAGATCTCAGCTGAGGAGCATTTCTGAAGGCACACGTTCTGGAGAGAGGTGCCCATCATGGAAAAGTCGTGGTGCTTCTGTGGCCGCATCCACACAGCAACATACAGACTGGAGTGGGATTCAGTTTGTTTAGGTACTACTTAGGTGGGATAAAAACCCATGGGAGATCCTGACAGTGACCCACTCTTCCTGCCACGTGGCCTACCTCTGCTTGTGATCCATTGCACTGCAGCTAAGCTTTGACACGTACCTGTGGCTGCCCATATGTGCACAGAGATGCTTCTTCCTAACTGCACTAGGGTTCCCCTCCCTCCATGCCCTATGTCATGGAGACATCACTGTATTCCAGCTGAAGAAAGACTGTACATTATTTCTAATCACAGCCCTCCAGTCCCACCACTGTCACCCCTTCAGACCCTAGAAAGAATCATGGAATCATAGAATCACAGAATGGTTAGGGTTGGAAGGGACCTCAAAGTTCATCGAGTTGCAACCTCCCTGCCATGGGCAGGGACACCTCCCACTAGAGCAGGTTGCTCAAGGCCCCATCCAGCCTGGCCTTGAACACCTCCAGGGATGGGGCATCCACAAGAAGAAGAAGGTGCCTAACTCTAGTTTCCACCATATTTCTCCTGGAGAAGTGACTACCTATCTGATGTGGACTAGGAGGTCCTTTGGAAGTCTTCTGCTGCAGGGGAAGTGGGCTGAGGGTATCCTGGATGCAGAAGAGCTGTGGAGCTGAACACGGGCAGAGTTGGCACTGGTTGGCTGAGCCAGGAAGCGAGTGGCCTGAGGATGGCAGTGTGGGCCACAGCCAGGAGCCTGGCCCTGAGATCTGGGCCTAGCCCTACCTTTCACTCCTTTTGGGGCCTCTTTGCAGACCAGAAAAAAATTGCAGTGAGACTCCTCTTCCCTCCCAAGAACTAGAAGACAGCTGGGAGCTAATGGGAGGTGGTGGAGAACAGTCAGCCACCAGTTTCTCCTTGGAGCTAAGAGGGCTGAGGTTGGTTGGTTTGTTTTGGA